ACCACTAAACCACTGGCGCTTTGTGAGAAGATTGGAATGATGTGGCGGGAATTTGGTTTATCACGGAAACTGAGACGCGAAGAAAAACGCAAAAAGTTTCGTTTGCAGAAGTTTGGAACGTTGGGATGCTAGGGTGGGGCCTGTAAATCTGGCTGTCGCCTCAGTCCCGCTGTGCAGGGGCTATTACGACGGGCGGGCTGGCTACCTTCGGTGAAACTTGGGACGGAATTCTTGACCTATGATCAGATGATCTGATAAACATTATCAGATGGAGGTGCAGGCTTCGGTCGCATTTCCCGTTCCAACACCCGACTTTCTTGTGGTGACAGCGCATTTAGCCAGAAAGCAGCGCACCCAAAGTGGGAATGGAGGCCACAGCATTTCCCATTTCGTTGGCCAAAAACCGATCCAAGACTTCCAGAGTGGGATCCATTGTCCGCTGAATGGCGAAGAGAGCGTTGGCCCGCCGGGGTTTGCGGAAAAAACAAGATTGGGCCAGACGAACACACAAGTTCACAAAAATGGCTCTGTCCGATACCGGGTGTGAGGGGTTCCACGCAGTCGTCAACTTTTGTTTTGTGAATTTGTCTGAAGCTCTTGACCGTCTCTGCTTTTTGCCATTCTTAATAACTGACTGTCATGAATGACGTTACGGCCCTTTCTCTCCAGTCGAACAGCATGATGGACTCAAGTTCAGAACTGAAAGTTCAAAGGGAGGATCGGATAAGCACTCAGGAGCACATGTGAAGCAGGATCTCGACGGCGGGAGAAGGGGAATGCATGGGCTAGCTGCTAGCTCGTCCCTTCGGGTCGTGAGTGGAGGCGCTAACTTGCGATGTACAGTGTACACAGTAGGTAGTGTAGATGGAGCGACGCTTCAATTGTTGCATATCTTCATTTCAGTTCCATTCACTCTTCGTTTCTCCCGGCATCCCGTTTCTTCCTTCCTGATGAGTGCGAGGGTGGTGACATCGTATCCATGCGAGCTACAGATCCACCCACCCACCCTCTTTACCCTGGCCCCAGGATCCTCGAAGGTGCTCAAAACGAAGGCGCGAGACCCAATATGTTCATCCGACCTCCTTCCCGGCACCAGAGTCATCCCGTCATAGTTGCCCCGTCTCCCACATCCGTCGTCTCGCTCGCTTTTTTCCAAAGTTCCAGTTTGTGTACCTAGCCATCCTCTGTCGGCCCATACAACCTAACTTAACGCATCGATCAAAGGCACCCAACCCACGCAGGCCACGCTATCTGGCTTCCAACCAAGTCCCTTGAATCCATCGCCAGAAGAGGCAGTTACAAGGTCCGACAGATTACCTATACACACACTCAAACACAGGCTCATACAATTTACGATGGGTTCTATTGCCGTTGACGACGCCACCATGTCGAGGCCTCCCTTCAAGGTTCTTGTTGTCGGTGGTTCTTACGGCGGTCTCTCCGCTGCCCTCAACTTGCAAGACATCTGCAGCGGCCGTGCTGCCCGCTGCGGCCCTGATGCCAAGAAGGCTGCCCTTGACGGCACTCCTGCTGCCCATGATGGTCCTCAGTTTGCCGTTGACATCACTGTTGTAGACGAAAGAGATGGCTTCTGTAAGATGTGCCCGCTAGCGCCCGCCCTCAGCAATGTTCACAACCACTAACACACATGTTCTCTCCATAAGACCATCTCATTGGCACCCCATTGGCCTTTGCCGATGAGTCCTACGCCGAAAAGTGCTGGGTCAAGTACGAGGACGTTCCCGCTCTGCAACAATCTCCCAACAACATCCGCATACTCCGGGGCTCCGTCCAGTCCATCGATCAGGAGCGCAAGATTGCCAAGGTTCTCGGCAGCGAGAACGGTCCCGAGCCCATCGAACTCAAGTACGACTACCTCATTGCCGCCGCCGGCTTGAGGAGGGTCTTTCCTGTCGTGCCCCAGTCCCTGCTCAGGAAGCAGTTTCTCTTTGAGGCTGGTGACCACATTCAGGCCGCGACTGCCAACAGACATGGTGTCGCTGTTGTAGGTGGAGGTGAGTTTGAGCCGCAGAATCATCACCCTTCCTCCCATGTAACTTGCCGACTGATAATACACAACAGGTGCTGTCGGTATCGAGATGGCTGCCGAGCTCAAGCTTGTTTGCCCCGATCTGAAGGTTACTCTTATCCACTCGCGTGACAAGCTTCTCTCGGCCGAGCCTCTTCCCGAGGAGGTCAAGGACCGTAGCTTGGAGCTCGTCCATGAGGCCGGTGTTGAGGTGCTCATGTCCCACCGCGTCGACAGGACCGAGGAATTTGTCGATAACGGGCACAAGGCATACAAGGTCTACTTCACCAACGGCCATACCCTTGTTGCCGACTCCGTCATCATGGCAATTTCCAGGAGCGTGCCATCGACCACCTTCCTTCCCAGGGAAGTCCTCAATGAGGAAGGTTATGTTAAGATCCAGCCCAGGTATGTACCCATCCCAATTCTGACGAACCTCATCGCAAAACTAACAGCTTGGGTGTTGTAGCCTCCACTTCCCTTCCGAAAGCCCCAATTCGGACGATCACCTCGCCATCGGTGACCTTGTCAAGTGGTCCGGTATCAAGCGGTGCGGTGGTGCCATGCACATGGGCTACCTGGCCGCCAACAACATTCATATGCGCATGAAGCAGGCTGTTTCCGGCACCGAGCCCACATACCTTGAGCTTGACGAAATTCCTCCCATGATTGGCCTCGCTGTTGGCAAAAAGGCGGTTGCCTACTGGCCCACAAACGGCGTGTCATCGGGCGAGGATGTCAATAAGCTCTTCTTCGGTGATGACTTGGGTTTTGATAGTGAGTTTTCTCTTTTCGGCACCCTATGCAAAGTGATTGCTAACCAGACATTTTAACAGTTTGCTGGAACCATCTACGTCTAGGCGGTTACGATGTTGTTAAGGCTTAAAAAAATCATTTTCGAAGGCACTGGCGTTAAAGCGGTTCGGATATCACGGAATTGGAATAGCATTTTGGTTTTTTTTTTTCTTGAAAGGCGATTGATGGGTTATATGAGAACATACATGGGCTTGGGAATATACACCATTTAACTGGGCTGGTTACGAACTGGGAGGTCTTCATGAAGCGACGGGTTTCTTGGTCATAATGAAGTATGTCTAGACACTTTGAGTGCAATTATGAACATAATGTCTCGGTCTATTCATAGTCTGTTTTCGAGTTACCAGAAGCCTGGAGATGAAGCCGTAGTTGTGTAATGGCACATGTCAGCACCTGTTGGATCATTGGGTTACTATCTGGTCTTTCTGGTCTTTCCATTCCGCACAAGAACAGGTACCCACCTTTATCGAAATGTAGCTTAGTGTCCTCCAAATCCCCATTCCTTCTTTTTTTTCCCCCTCTTCTTTGCTGCTTTGATATATTATTGCTCTTGGTACATGTTTTGGCTCGTCAGTCTTCAATGTACGTTCTGTGACATGTTGACTGTTTCGCATGGCCTAGAGGAAGGATCACCACTTGTACAACATGGGCAACTACCTAATTCGACGCAAGATTCAGATACTGTTCTTTTGTTCCACTACCTTTCCCAAGTAACTTTTTCCGGCCTTTTTCCTCATTATTCTATTACATATCCAATATCAGACAGATGCAGCAATTCTTTTCGATCATCATCCGACCGCCCGACCCATCTAATTTCAAAGCAACTACCTAGCCTTCCATTCAGAGCTTGGGGACGAGGCCAAGGTGGGTACCGCCGAGGAACTTTTGGTTCTCATCAAGCGGACACAGCTGGAAGAAGCGCTCGCGCGAGCATGTGACAAAGGCAGAACGCTTGTGAGGCAAATCGACAAACTTGTCGAGGCCAAAGCCGTGCATCATGTCGTACATGAGAACAGAGGTGTTGGTGTACTTGGGCTCACCCACGACGTTCATGGTGCGCGGGTCGTCCAGGTAGAGATAGTGCATGAGGGACGACCACCAAGCTGAAACGCGGTGGGGGCCGCGGTAGCGGACGTCGCCGACGAGCGAGTGGCGCCCGCGGTCGTAGTCGCCGGGGGTGTAGTAGGCTCCCAGGCGGTCCTCCTGAAAGGAATGGGTTAGCTACCTAAGCTTATAAAGAGCGGCGGGGACGGGGTACAATAAAAAAAAATAAACGAACCTTGGCCCAGTAAATCTCAAAGTAAGCAAAAAAGACGTCATCAAAAGCCGCCAGGACGGTGATCTGATGCGGGTCCTCGTGCGCCTTGCGCAGGTACTCGCGGTGCTGTTCCAGTGTGCCCTCCTCGTTCCAACCCTGCGACACGCGCGGGTCGTTCTGCCACGTGTGGAACAGCTCCAGATGCGCCGGGTTGGTGTAGTCCAGCGCCACCATGGAAAAGTTCTCCTTCAGGTGCGGGATGTAGCGGCTATAGATGACGGACCCGGGAGCGGGCTTGGCCCGCCTGCGAGGGTGCCAGCACAGCGCGCTGTTGGGCTCGTTGGTCATGACGTACTCGGTCGCCTGCAGGGGGTAGACGGACTCGAGGCTGCCGTCCTCGCTGTCGGCAAGGGTTTCGGGAGCCCACGCCGGGCGCGCGCCGAAGGGAGAGCCGGCGCCCTGCCAGAAGGCGCCGCGCAGGATCAGGAGCTCCTTCCCTGCATCGGAACCGTGGAGCTTTTGTTGCTCGGAGGTGGCGGGGGCTGGGTGGTCGATGGCCAGACCGACGGCCTTGAGCTGGCGGGCGAGCTTGTCGGCGCCGAAGCCGTAGGTGGATAGCCGAAAGGCCTCCTCGGAGGGCCGGAGGGTGAAGATGACATAGGCGATCAGCCAGAGCTGGCCGACGGTGGGAGCGGTGGGTTCCTTCCACGAGACGGCCACGGACGGCGAGCGGCGGGCGCGGCCCCAGGGCGTGTTGATGGAGATGTGAGGCTTGTCCGAGGACTTGAGGTCTTGGGGCTCGGTGAAGAAGAGGGAGTCGTTATGAAGGGGACGGGGTAACGCCGCCTTGCTGTCTTGTTGCTTGAGCTGGTACGAGTTGGCGACGCCGGGTTCGCCCTTCACGACGAGGTAGGAAGTCTGGTAGGGGTGAGGGAGCTTGAGGATGGGCTCAGAAGTGGCGACATATTCGGCGAGCCGGCGGGTTGTTGGTGACGCCATGTTGTGTAGTGTTGTGTATGTGTGTGAGAAAATCAAAGAAGTATATCTTTGTTTACTTTGGGGTATCGTCACTTTGGAAAAGAGCAATGGCTATTCAGAGAAAAGACTGACTGAAAGACTGATGAAGCCAAAGAAACGATGGTGACGATTGAACTTAGTACAACCCCTACTCCGATCGCTTCCCACTTTACAAGTGTGTACTGTCGGCTTCAAGGTCCCAAGGTGGAGGAGGTGTACGAAGACACGCCGGCATTTTCTCCTGCTACCCTGCTACGTAAAGCCGAGCCAGGGACCAGGGGAAATGGAGGGTGGAGGTTGAGCTGGTGAGATCATTTCGATAGTTTTATATACTCGATTAGGTGAGTTCCAGAAGGCAGGGTATTGATGATGTTTGGTTTGTGAGACTTTGTGGTGGTGGGCAGGGGAGCAAATTAACCAATGAAAAGCGTGGAAGGAACAGAGCAGTCGGTGGGTGTGACGGTCGCATGGAGATGGCGTCGGATCTGATAACTTTGGACGCCAAAGAGTGGGTCCAAGCGGATCTGATAATTTTTCCCTCACCTGCCGTCCCACATTCCGTGGCACACCTCCACCCGAATTCGGAGCGTTTCGGGGGCGGAGTGAGGTGGGCATCCTCGGCATGCTTGTCGCGAGACAGTTGAAAGTTGAAACAGCCGTAACAAGAATGAGGCCGAAGAAACGAAACAAACAAGCACGAAAAGCTATCAAGCGCTGTAGGCTTTAAATCATTAATGTTTATGTAGCAGTCTCGTAAAAGCGTCCTCCTCATTGCGGAAATAGGCAAGGAGAAAAAAGGTCAAGAAGGGAAGGGGCATTGGAAACAAGAAGGGAAGAGGGGAAGGATCTTGGCAGTCAGAGAGATTCTTATCAGATTCTTTTCTGTCGGACGATCTCTGCGGCATTTTGTCACCGAGCGAGAAGGGTTTACTTGCACACACATATATGAATATAAACGAGCGACATGTGCCTGAACGCTCTTGTACTGTAGCTCCCGCCTGTTGTAGGTACCGTGTGTGGTTCAGCGCGTATATTAATCCGGTACAGTACACTACCGAGGGGCCAGCACAGGTCAACAGCCAAAGAAGGAAGCGATCATCCTTTCCCCGTCGGTCCCTTTACGACTCTTTCGTCGAATCACCAGTCACCGTTGCATTGTGGTTTTTTATCAGATGGAACTAACGATGCAGCCTCTCCACCTTCCATGCCGCTCTCGTGTCCACTTCATCCTTTTTTCCCCTGTCGATTCTTCCACGACTCCAATTTTCTGAAAAATTCTCTTTGCGACCCCAGTTCCGACTCCAATTCCGTCCACTCTCTCCTCAACAACAACGCTGGATGTCATGATGCTACACTACAGTATCCGCCATCAGCCGAGGACCGGGTTGCAGCGAAACACGCGTCTCCACCTCTAGCTCCGTTCAGGGCGTTGAGCATGTGTCAATGTCACCCACGGTTTTTTGTCACCACTCTGCGACTCCAGCTCGAGTTGGAGCACCATGAAGGGGGGGACCCGGAGGGCATTGGAGGTTGACCCTTCTCACCTTCACAAGGCTGTGCCAGAAAAAAATCTTATCAGATTGATTAGATCAAGATCAAGGCAGCAACAGACAGCAGACATCACCGCAATCGGGCAATAGCACCGGTTTCGTCGACGATCCAGTCACCTCCGCCGTGTCCCAAAGTGGGAAGAGCAGCTCCTCTCATCCCCACTGTGGCCGGTGACTGACCACCACGAGCTGGAGTCTGGGAAAACGAAAGGCGAGTTTCGGGCCTACGAAGCTTCTAGGGCAGCTTGGCTGAGGTGTCCCGGTTTTCTTGCTGGTTGTATCCCATCCCATCATACGTAAACCTGCCTGCTCCGTTTTGTTGATGTGCTGCAAATACCCTCGAATTCCTTCCTGCCTCGTCCTGAAGTCGTCAGTGGCCAGCCAGTCCGTCCTTGTATCGAGTGATACCATCTTCGTTGCTTTTGTCCCTTTACCTTGTACCCTTTGCTTCTCTTTGGCCTCCTACTCTCCCCTCCAACAGAACTCTTTGAATCGGGCCAATAACATCTCTTCTCACAATACACAACATGTCTTCACCGGCGTTGGTACCAACAACCATCGAAGAGGGGGCCGTTCTCCCTCAGACGCAAAGACCATCTCTCCTTCACGGCCCAACAGATCCTCCTTTGGTCGACCTCACACTGGGAGAGCTGCTCAACCTCCAATGTCTGCACCACGGCACACAAGAAGCTCTCGTCATTCCATGGACTGGCGCAAGATGGACATACAACGAGCTCAACCACCAAAGTCAGCTCATGGCACGCGCTTTGTTGGGACTGGGAATTCGCGTAGGCGATAGGGTGGGCATCATGGCTGGAAACTGCGAGCAGTATGCTTCTCTTTTCTTTGCTGCCACGAGGATAGGCGCCATCCTCGTCATTCTCAACAACACGTATACCCCTACCGAAGCTCAGTATGCTTTGGAGTTCTCAGGTATGCTCCTCCGCGCACCAGCCATGCCCGGTACCGGTCCTAGTCAAGCTCACCCTTTCCAGACTGCAAGGTTCTCTTCACTACCAAGAAGATCGGTCGCCTCGATCAAGGGCCCCTGCTCGCCGAGCTCAAGATGAAGTCCAAGGCTCCCAAAGTAGTAATTATCAGGGGAGATAGCGAGGGTTACCAGACGTATGATCAGTTACTTTCTCAAGGGTTCAAGGTCAGCGTAGAACGTCTGCATCACATGGAGAGGAAGGTCCTCCCTCACTTGGTCTGCAATCTCCAGTTCACCAGTGGCACGACTGGCCTGCCTAAGGCCGCCATGCTCACGCATCAGTATGTCCATTTCCTGCACTCATCACGCCTGTTGCTCCCCAGCTGACATTGTACCAGCAACATTGTTAACAACGCGCGCTTCATCGGTGACCGTATGAAGCTGGGCCCCGACGACGTTCTGTGCTGCCCCCCTCCTCTTTTCCACTGCTTCGGTCTTGTCCTTGGCCTCATGTCCGTCATGACCCACGGCGGCAAGATCGTCTACCCAGCCGAGGTTTTTGACGCCCCCGCTACCCTCAAAGCCATCGTCGACGAACGCTGCACCGCCGTCCATGGTGTCCCCGCTATGTTTGACAGCATCCTCGCCCTCCCCGAAGCCAAGGATCTCAAGGCTGCCGATTTGCGGCTAAGGACAGGCATCATCGCCGGTGCCCCCGTGCCACGCTACCTGATGGAATTGCTCGTTTCGAAGCTCGGCATGACCGAGTTCACGTCAAGTTACGGACTGACTGAAGCGTCCCCGACCTGCTTCAACGCGCATACCGATGACCCGATCGACGTAAGATTGACTACCGTCGGCACCCTGATGCCCCATGCCCACGCCAAAATCGTGGACAGAGATGGCCAGATCGTGCCTATTGGCACCAAAGGAGAGCTTTGTATTGGTGGCTACCAGCTGCAAGCGGGATATTGGAACAACTCGGAGAAGACGAACGAGGTGATGATGAGGGATGAGTCCGGCATGTTGTGGTTGCACACCGGCGATGAGGCCGTCTTCAATGAGCAGGGATACTGCTCTATTACCGGACGCTTCAAGGATATCATCATCAGAGGTATGTTTCGAAACTACTTTCTGTTTAAACCCAACACGTCTCCTCCCATGCTAATCTCAACGGGCACACAGGTGGCGAAAACATCTACCCTCTCGAGATCGAGGAGCGTCTCGTAGCTCACCCGGCCATCTCCATGGCTGTTGTTGTGGGCCTCAAGGACCAGCACTACGGCGAAGTCGTCGGTGCCTTCCTCGGACTCGAGAATGGCCATCGGCCAATGAGCACAGAGGAGATGCGCGAGTGGTGCAGGCGGAAGCTGGGTAAGCACAAGGCTCCCACGCACGTCTTCTATCTCGGCTTGGATGGCGTGCCTAGCACGGTTCCACTCACGGGAAGCGGAAAGGTGCGCAAGTTTGAGATGGCGCAGCTGGGTAATAAGCTACTGGAGGAGAGACGCAAGACTTCCAAGCTCTGAGGGAAGAAATTGGACGAAAAGAAGAGTGCGCTTTGTTATTTTTTTGGGTATGTCTGAGCAGGGCAGCGATGGGAAAATGGCATGTTCATATTGTTTTTTTTTTTTTTTTGTTTTTTTTTTTTGTTTTTTTTTCTGTAGGATAGATAAAAATAATAATGGAAAAAGGGGAACGGAAAGAAGAAAGTACTTGTCTGTATCCTCAATCCGACTGTCCAATTCGACGTTGAAGTGCGAAAAGCAAATTGATGAATTACGCGACAGACCAAACCAACCATGAAAGGTGAAAATATCGTCTCGGGTTAGTGCGGAAGGAGATTGGCGAGGAAAAGAGTACCTGTGTCCGAGGTGTCAAGTAACGAAAGAGCGGAAGAATTGGAAGATAGATTACGCAGACGAGAACAATGACAGACAACAACAGATGGAAAATGAGGGAGAAAAAAAAAGAAACCGAAAAAAGAAAATGCT